AGGGTCACCGTGCTGGGGTGCTTCTCTCTCTCAGACCATTGCCGCTGCCACCTCACTGGGCTACTCAGGAGCAAAGTCTCCCCTCCGTGTGGAGGGTGAAGGCTGGAAAGTGGAACATAAATACACACTCAGGGACGAGACAGGGGACGTAGACTGAACCAGCGGCCCAGTTCTCCGAGGCCTGTCAACTCCTTCCCTGAGTCCAGAACCCTGTCCTGGAGTCCCGAGAGACCGGCACAGCTCCTGGCTTGAGTCGCCTCATTCCTTCTCCTCGCCTGTCTGCATGTGGAACGTGGCAGCAGAAGCACCCACCTTCCGGAAACGAGGCCTCAGGCATCTTGACCCTGGGGGTCAGCACCGAGGGAAGAACCCCGCTGTGCTGCTTCCTTCCCGATCTCATCCTGTCCGTCGGAAGGCTAGAAAAGGCCTCTTCCCCAGGTGACAGGAGACAAGAAATAACCCCTCTGAGGAGGCCGCACCCCACGCATCCAGACTCAGCAGAATGATATTACACCCCAAACTCTAGCATCGCTGCCGGCCATGAGGCGGCCCACGGAAGTCCAGGTTCACCGTGAAGCCCCGCAGCTGACCTGTGTGGAAACGGCTTCGCTGGGACCAGGATGCCGGAGGGCAGCGTTGCCGAACCCACTCTGCCCTGGGAAACACTGCACGTAACGGCCCCTCAGGTCATTGGGTATTCTCACTTATGACACTCTCCAATAGCAATATCTTAATCAGCAGGCTAATGTGGGGCCCACGCAACGGGCCTGCCCTTTCGACAAGAGCAGTCACGGCAAGAACAAGCCCCATCCGTTCCAGGATTGGAGCCAGAGCCCAATCAGCCTGGGTCTCAGCCAAGAGGATGCTCTGGGATGCGGTGTAACCAGGTGGGCAAGAGCCGGGCTTCCGGGTCCTAAGACCCAATACCACACCCTTCACAGATTAGCTGTGCAATTCTCCACAGGTTGCTTCACTTCTCTGTGCCCCAATGTCCTCATAGGCAACATGGGAATAATAGCATGTTCTTCATAGGGAACAAAGATTAAGTATGATAAAGAGCTTAGCACAGTGTCTGGCATGTAGTTCGTGCTCAATAAATGGCAGGTGCTGTTGGGGGAGGGAGCAGAGCCAGGCGATCCCGGGACCAGGCCCTTGATGGGACATGACGGCCTAGCAAGGACATTGCTGCTGCTCTCTTCTCCCTATAACAGCCACTCTGTCTCTTTGGCAGGGGAACTAGGAAAACTGAATCAAGCATCTTCTCATCCCTCTGGGTTCTCCATGGGTAGACAACCCCAAAGCCAAGATGTGTCAGGTCCACGGAACTGGGTGGGGGAAGGCTGCACCTGTCTGTCCTCCCTATACCATCCCCAGAGCAGGGAGGGTGCTTCTCTGAGGGACTCTGAGCAGGTGCCGAGCCTTGGGCCCAACCAGTGGGGCTTCATGGAGTCCTCTCCCCAAGGTGACAGGAGGATAAAGATCATCTCCCGTTTAGCACCAGGATGATGCACCTTAACCCTCCCTCCCCCCTGCTCTTCCCTAGCAGGTGGGCCCCTAGTGCAGCCAGATGTTACTACGGATTGCAGAGTTTTGGGAAGTTTATAGGTTTTAAAAGGTCAGGTTCTTTGGTGGTAAAAGTTTTACAGACCAGTAAAAATTTACTGCGGAAGATGGGAGGCACCGCTGCCGTGGCAAAGGCTGGAGCCAGGAGTCTGGAGGCCTCCGCTTCGTCATGTCCACCGTGGGAAAGGGGCATGTGGTGTGGGCTCTCTGGGCTCTGTGTGTGAACCTGGGAAATGGGAAAGTGGGCAGATGGGTGGGAAGCTCTTGGCACATGTGTGAGTACAGTCCTCCTCCCCAGGGTGCTGGGAGCAGCTGGACACAAGGGGAGGCCCAGGCCTGCGGCTCCTGCAGGCTTGAGCTTTTCATTACGCTCACTGGATCGCTGCCATCTGCATGTCTGCCTCCGCTCCCTGGGAGGAGCCGGCCGTCTGCAGCCAGAGCTCAGGAATCAAATTAGCCCTGCCTCGGCCTTTCCCCGATCCCCACCGGCGCCGGCCCGGGGCAGTTCCTCACGCCTGGAACTAATTCTTGTTTAAAAGGGGCAAAAGTGACTCCACAGTTTCATTGGAGGCAATTTACACCCCGCCACTGGCAACAACTCCAACTCCTCCCTGTCCGTTGTGCCACCAGATCCATTAATAGGAAATTTCTTCAGGGGAAACTTGATTGCTGCTCCATCCGAGAGGCACACAGGCGATACAGCTCCATGTGACGCGTGGCCTGCCTGGCTCGCTCTAACCCTGTTACCCAGGAAGCTAATTCTCTAATGCGCACACTGTGTGCAAGATGTCCTCTTCCTTCTCTAACGCAATCGGGCGGTCCCAGAGGGGCCGGGAGCTCAGTGCAGAAATGAGGGCCTGGTCCAGGGGACAGGGTGTCCAGGCTTTGCACTGCCCCCAGATTAGCACATGCCCGTGGCTGGCACTCCACTCCACAGCGTGGGGAGCCCTCCTTCCTGACTCCCATGGTGAGGAGGAGGGAGCCACATTCAGGCCACCCTGGATTGACAGCTCAGGCCCTCCCGCTGTTGTTGCTTCCCCCTCCCTTCTCTCCCTTCTCTTCCTTTCTTCCTAGAATTTTCCTCTCTCTCCTTGCCTTTTTCACTTGTCTTCCTCTTCCTCCTCGCTTTCCAACCAATTTTCCTTCTCTTCTCATCTTCCTTTTATTTTTTACTTCACTCCCGTCTCCTCTTCAGATCCCCCATTTCCCGTAGTTTTACCTTCTGTTTCTTTTCACCTCTTCCTGCCCCTTTCCCTGCTGCTGTGGCACTGTCCCTTTCAGAACAAGTTCGGTGCCAGATGCCTCTCGCTGCTCTCTGTCTCCACGGCCTGGCTCTGTGGAAGGAATGGGCCAGGCCACATTAAAGGGAGATAGGGATGTGCCTCATGGACATGCTCAGGGAGCATTTGGGGGAGCAGTTAGTGTGTGTGGGGGCTGGGGGAATGGTTGAGTGCCTGTTCTTCGATGACGAAGCAACTATAATGAAACCCCAAGTGGGTTTGTTACTGCCATAGGAAGGGACCCCCTCAATAAGTGGGATGGTGCTAGATGCAGATTTCACCATGCAAACCGCCAGAGGAGAACGCCCTCTAGAAATTCGCAGCCGATTTCTAAGTGGCCACGGAGGTGAGTGAGCAGGAGGCCAGCGTGTATTCATGGCTCCAATGTTGGCTCGAGGCTGCATTTGGGAACCCACAGAGCCCTTCTGAGTCTGAGCCTCTGCACGGCTTGAGCCTGCCTGGCGGCCTATGGCAGCCCGGGCTTCCTGTCCTGCCCGTCCTGTGGCCAAGCCTGGAGTCTGGGCACATTCTTTCAGGGGACAGGAGGGGGGGTGGCTCTAAATTCTCTAGAAGTTTGGGGCCCTCTATTTTCTACTTTTCTACCACTTCTCCCCATCTCCATTCCCCCAAAGGGAATTCTTGGAGCTGATTTTCCTTGCTTTTCTAGATTGTGCAGTAAGAGAGCACATGGCTCGAAAGAAGGGGAGCCCAGGCTCCTTGAGCTTGAGTGAGCATCCCAGGCCACCCCCTGGCTTGTGGCCCCGTGAAGGGACCCCATCAATGGAGGGTATAATGCACCATGTAGATTTCACATGTGCATGAATAAGAGGGAAGACCCAAGCAGAACCAGAAAGGACTTACTTCTGATCAAGGTGGGAGTTTTTTAACTTAACTAAAGTTCAGAAAATTCTTTCTCCTTGCAGTGTTCTCAGCCTATTCTACCCTTAAATTCAACTGGAACGGGATGAAATGTTCTGAGGTTGGAGCTTGCATGACTGCACTTTGATGCAGGTGCAGCTCACCTTGAAAACAGTCAAGATAGAAAAGTCTACATAGCCCGCCCGGCTGGTGTGGCTCCGTGGTTGAGCATCGACCTGTGAACCAGGAGGTCACGGTTCAATTCCGGTCAAGGAACATACTCGGGTTTCGGGCTCAATCTCCAGTAGGGGGCGTGATTCTCTCTCATCATTGATGTTTCTATCTCCCTCTCCCTCTCCCTTCCTCTCTCAGAAATCAATAAAAAAACATATTTTAAAATAAATAAATAAATTTTTAAAAAGGAGAAGAAAAGTCTACATCCACACATCTATTCACATGGTAAGATGGGAGTGGGATGCCTCCAATTAAACCCATAGCCATTGTTTTGCCAGACAACCTGGTGGCACCCAGTTGGGTGTCGGGGGGATAGATAAGTGCCCATTTAACTTACAAAAAAGAGAAAGGCACTTCTTTCAAGAAAACCACATTTCAGGGAAAAGTGTTGTGACCGCAGGTGAAATGACATTAAGCAAAAAATGGGGGGAGGATACAAATTCACATGCATGGTACACTTATTCATTGTGTACACATTCTAGAAGGACATTACAGAGAATATACACCTAAGTCTGAATGGTGGCCGTCCCTGAGCTGTCAGTAAGCCTATGGATGACTTCCATTTTTCTTCCTTTTTCCCACAGTGAGGATGTATTGCTATTGTATTTTAACTATGCATATTGACTTTGTATGATAGGAAACATACTTGCCGTGGGACAGACATGAAGGCAGCTGCCTGGAGCACCTCCCAGCAGACCGGGGCTCCCGCGGCCTCTGGACCCCAAGTCAGTCCTTGGGGAACTGAGCAGGGCACCGGGCAGAACAGAAGGACTGAGCTCCGCTGAATGACCCAGCTCGCCAGGCCCCCCTCTCAGTGGTTCCATCCTCCCCGCCCACCCTGAAACCTGATTCAAATGAAGGATTGATTGCAGGGACACTTGGCAGCTTCCCAGCCTGGTGGCTCGGGCGGTGCGGGCAGTGCGAGGCTCAGCCGCAGAAGTGCCGGGAGCAGCCTGGAGAGGCAGGCGGCTGGGACACGAGGCCGGCAGAGGGCAGACAGGCTGGCCCTCGGCGGGGCTCTCCCTGCACGCCCGCCACCCAGAGGCGCCCACGCCGCGGAAGCTCGCCATGCTGCCGTGGGCCCCACCAGCGCTGCTGGCCCTGCTTCTGCCCGTGCTCCTGACTCAGGGAGAAGGTAAGGCGGTGGGGGGAATGGGAAACACGTAGGACGTGGCTGGCCGCCTCCCGAGGGGCGGTAGGGGATGCCCGATCCTGCCAGGGTTGAGGGAAGGTGGGTTTTGGAGTGGGTAAGGCTGCAGGGAGTCAGGCTCTCACTCTGAACGTGCATGCGAGCGTTTTGAGGCACTGGGGCCCAGCGGGGAGGTCGAGGCTGAGCCGGTGAGAGCAGGGCTGCTGAGGGGGTGCAGCGCAGCCTGCTGCCTGGGACACATGTGGACGGGGCAGGAGCGAGGTCTCTGCTCTTTGCCCTGCCCCTAAACTCACCGAGAGCGCACTGCAAGGCCCCTTTGTTCTCCGTGGGGATGCTGTGGTCCAGAGACGGGAATAGTGTGCTCAGGTCACAGCTCGTTGGCAGCAGCGCCGACTTTGTTGCATGGGCTCTTGAGGTCTCTGTTTCCTAAAGTTTGCTTCCGGGGCTAACCTCCAACAACACCCAGCCCCGCTCTGCACTCCCACCTGCCTTTCCTGCCTCCCCAGTGGGTGCAGGGTGTTTTCATCACAAAAGGATCGTGCCCTCTTGCTGCAGACAATACTCATTCATCTTAGATTGTTTTCTCCTCATCCAGAGCTGGGCTGAAGCTGGGGCCAGGGTGCGTTCGGGTGGACGGGGGCCGGACACGATGCGTTTCCTCCCGAGAGCTGGCACTGGGGAAGCTCAGCAGGACGAGCAGGCCCGGTTGCAGGGGATGACTGGTCCGGGCTGCCTGGGCTGGGAAGCCCTCTGCCTCCCAGAAACAGCCTTTGCTCTGACCCGTGGGGCCCAGGCTGGTGCTCTCCAAACTGGCCCGAATCCCAGACGACAGGATCTGGGCTGTTGCTGCTGTAGGCAGACACACAGGGCTCTGGGTTTGAATCAGTGCTATGTTAACGGATGTTATTCCCAAGGCAGCACTCCCTACCTGCTCTCCCGTCTCTCCTCTCTCTGCTCATCTCTGCCCTGAGGGCAGCGGGGTATGTATCAGGGACAGGTGGGGAGGGGCAGGAAGGAGAATCTGTAGGATCGTTGTGTTGCACAGGTTGCACACACAGCCAGGCCTGCTGAGACCTGCGCTCACGCTGCCAGGCCCCTGAGGCTTTCAGCCTGCACCCTGGGCCTCCCTCTCCCACACTGTTTGTCACCTGCATGTTTCTTGGCACCTTTCAGGAAGTGCTTCTGCTGTCCCAGAAGGACACCTGAGGCACACATGACATCCCAGAGGATGGGGCTCGGGCCTAGGAGTGGGGATTGCTCCTCACCATTTGGTCCTTGCAGGCCTCCTGCTCTGGGAACAATTTGCTGCTGCTCGCTCCCTCCACACCTCACCCAACCCTCTTCCTAACCCTGACAAATTGCCCACATAGCACCCTGTGAGGACCCGGCAACCTCCCCCAGGAGTTGGTGCGCCCGGGCAGGTGGGGTGGCGGCCTTGGGGTGGGTTTTGCAGGAGGGAGGGGAGATGTCAGTTTTCACTGGTTGCCCCCCTTCTCCCTTTGTCAGTTGCAGGCTGGGGGCCAGGAGATGAGGGGCTGTAGGACACTGACATCTGACCTTGACTGAGGCAAACCCTCACGCAGACCTCCGGGCTGAGGAACTGTGCACTGGGGGCCACTTTTTTGTACCCCTCTCATCTCCCGGGGCCGGCTCCCCTTCACTTCCCCGGAGCCCCTGGATCAGAGCCCTGCAGGCTGACCTCCTCGGAGCCCTCGGCCTCCTTCAGACCTCACCTGCCTTACGTCACCTTCTCTTCCAGTCCGGCCCCCTCTCTCCCGTAAACGAGTGTGCAGGTTGCCCGTATGAGATGCACCTTTGAGTCTGGGGAGGAGCCTGCGGACACAATGGACATTTCCGTGGTGGGGCACCTGGAAGTTTTGTGCGGTGGGACTGGTGAGGGCACTTCCCTTTTCATAGCTTCAAACCAGGGCTTGATGTCCGCTTGGAACTGTTCTCCTTCCCAGCCAGGCGCAGGGGGGGCCTCCGGGCCCAGAACACCTCCGGGCCCGCTCTGCGGCAGCTGTCGGACCACCTCCTGACCAACTACAAGAAGGGCGTGCGGCCCGTGCGGGACTGGAGGAGGCCAACCACCGTGTCCATCGACGTCATTGTCTACGCCATCCTCAACGTGGTGAGGGCTCAGCCCCAAGATGCCCCCAACTCAGAGGTGGGAGGCCCTGGGCACATGGTGGACATTCGGGTACCATCGTACCTGTGGCCGGCACCACGGCTCAGACAGGCTGCAGCACCCCCATGTGCAGAGCTGCCCAAACCAGGAAACTGGGGCCACCTTTGCAGCCATCCCTCCCACACTCCTGCAGCCAGCGGGCCACTCACCGTGTCGTGGTACCATCTCCCTGTGCGAGCTGTGTGAGGGTTCAGATTGTCCTATTCATCTCTATGCCCTGTGTCACACAGGTCCCTGGCAGACGGTGGGTGTTACTCAATGGTTGTTGAAGAGTTCATCACAAATCAATTAATTGATTCCTCCGTTAGTGACAGTAGTAGGTGGGGTCCACTGCCCAGCGCAGGAGGTTGGACACTGCAGAGATAAGCAGGAGGCGACTGCGGAGATGCCGAAATGGGGGCAGTGTGCTGGGCTAGGGTGGGCGGGACTGACACCAGTCTCCGCTACAGTCCATGCGGCTGTTCGGGAAGGGAAATTGGGATTGGATAGGAGGGAGGGAGAGCGATGAATTTTTCACTCTATGTGACTTTGTACCTCTTGACTTCATTCTAGCATAGGAGAGATATAGCTATAGATAGAGATAGAGATAGAGATAGAGATAGAGATAGAGATAGAGATAGAGATAGAGATAGAGATAGAGATAGTTACAGTGGGGCCTTGACTTACTAGTGTCCCGACTAACGAGTTTTTTGAGATACCAGCTGTCTCTCGCCGATTTTTTTGCATTGAGTTGATAGAGTAATTTGAGTTAACGAGCTCCTTAACAAGCTCCTTAATGAGCTCGGTCTCAGAACAAATTAAACTCGTAAGTCAAGGCCCCACTGTATACACAATATTGTTAAATATGCTTTGTATTATCTTCTATTACGTTATGTATATCATATTTGTAAAATATAGATAACATAATAGACATATATAATATGCATGACATAATAGAAGAGAATAGAGGGTATATATACTTACATGCACATATAGTTTAAGAGTAAATCACTGCATTTCTTTCTAGATGTTTCCTAGTAAAAGACCAACTTTTCCTGCTGCCCCTTCTCCTTGCCCCTTGGCTTCACCCCCACTTCCCAAGGATATAGGGACACAGAGCAGCAGCTCCTTCTGGGGTTTGTGTGTGCAGAGTGGACCCACAACCCACAGGGCCACCTGTGCCAGCTCCCTTTCCTTTCCCAGGACGAGAAGAACCAGGTCCTGACCACCTACATCTGGTACCGGCAGGTGAGCAGCCCAGCCCTTCGCCCGCTGCCTCATTTCCTGGCCTGGGACTTACCCTTCCGGGGAGGGACTCGCCACCTGGAGCGTCAGGGACCTGAGATGCAGAAGCCTGGACTCCCCTCGCTCAGGGCTGGGGATGGAGGGGGCAGACGGCTCGGTGGGGGAAGTCCTCTGGACCTGCCCTGGGTCCTGAAGTTCTCCAGGAACCCCCAGCAAGTGTGTGTCCCACCTCTCGGTCGAACACCTCCAGTGACTGGGAGCTCGGGGGCAGCCTTCCCTCTCACACAGCTTGAATGGCTCACAAGTCTTCTTCCTATTAAGCCAAATTGAACAACAACCAAACTGGGTGATTAAAAGTCTTCACCCTGTGGCTATTGCCCATCTCTTCCAGCTTCCGGCGGGCATTGGTCAGGCGCTGGCGTGTGGAGTCTCTGAGGCCCCAGCAGCAGTTCTGGTTCGGAGCTGGTGGGGGAGGGCAGGCAAACAGAGGAGGCTGCTGTCCACCGTGTGTCCTAAGCGGTAGCCCCGGGGCCCCAGGTACCTGGAGAAGGTGTCAGCATAGAAGGGAAGCCAACAACATGGCTGAAGAGAAGGGGGCAGGGACATGAGGACAGTTCGTTGAGGTCAAGCCTGAGAGACTTCGGGGACACGCCTGGCAACGTGGGTCTCTGTTAAATCTCTCCCCCTCTCTGTGAGCACCCCACCACAGCCAGCTCATGGGACAGGAAACGGGGTAGAGGAAGAAGCCAAATGCTGGTTCCTGCGGTACTGCCCCCTTTCTGCCTCTGCAAGATCCCCAAGTGCAGAACACACGCTGCCTCAGGGAAGGGACCCGGTGGGCTTCCTGGAGCTCTCTCCTGGGACACCATGGCCAGCTCCCACCTCTGCACCTCTAGGGTCACTCGTCTGCCCCAGCAGTGAGGGCATGCCAGTCCACTACGTGCTAAGGGACTGGAATTAGAGACACAAACTAGACTCAGGCCCTGCCCACAATGAGCTCACAGGCTGGTGCAGACCACACACACGTGAGCAGACAATTCCATGCAACCAATACAGCAGGCAAGATGTCAGTCATGAAAGCACAGAGGAGGCACATGAAACCCACCAGGGGACGGGGTTCCCAGAGGTCCTTGGAGAATGGAATAGGCAGGTGCCTTGGTTAAGTCTAGAAGGATGAGTAAGACTCACCTTGATCAAGAAGACAGATTGCTGTATGGGAGAAGGAGCAGGGTACAGAGAGATGCGGAGGTTCCAACAGTGATCATTCCAGGTGTAGACTCCACAGAGAGGCATGGCCAACACAAACAAACCAACAACAACAAAACCTGAGACTAGGAAGATAGGTGGAGGCAGATTATGTAGACCTTTGCTGACCTCCAGGTTTAACTTTATCTCATTGCCAATGAGACGCTGCTGAAGAATTTTAAGCGGGCGAGCGACATCACAGAATTTACATTTCATGTTTCTGTAAAATTGGGATTATCCATTCTATTCTGTTTTACAACCTTTTCAATGTATGTTCTCTTTGTTTTTTCCCTCGTGATTTGAAAGGCACATTCTTATTTTCATCTAGTCATGCTTGTATTTAGTTTACATTATTTCGTACAGTTTTCAGTGATAATATAGTCTATTAACTTCCGAAGCATAGCACCCGCTATTGACTATTCCATACCTCACAGACCCTCCCACTCACCCGCCATCTTTTCCCCACGCCTTCAAATAGAATGTGAAATGTGAAAATATGTATATCCGTTAGGCCAGTCATCCTGGCAGGAGAGTGGAGGATGCATCGATCAAAACCTAACAGTAACCATCTCTGCCCTGGGAGGTGCATCTATCATCCCCACTTACATTTGTGCAGACTGAGACCAAGAAGCTGTCGTCTCAGATCCCTCCGCTGGTGGCTAGGGGATTCAAAATGTTAGCAATGCCTGACGCCGTCCCTGGGCGAGGCTGTGTCCTATTTGCATGTAGGAAGTGCGTGGGCACAGAGGTGGGGGACTCTCAGGTGCTGCTGAGTGACTAGGGTGCCACTGACGCCCACATTCCCCCAAGAAGATGCCTGCCTTTCTCCTGGGCCCTGAGAGGTGGAGCTGGCCTGAGCTGGGACGACCCCGCCCACCCTTACGGGTCCTGCTCCTTCCCTAGTACTGGACTGACGAGTTTCTCCAGTGGAACCCCGAGGACTTCGACAACATCACCAAGCTGTCCATCCCCACGGACAGCATTTGGGTCCCGGACATTCTCATCAACGAGTTGTGAGTACCGCCATCTGGTGCTGGGCGGCCAGGTAGCTGCGGGCTGGGGAAGGCAGGGGCACCCCCCACGCACCCCCCCCCCAAGACTTGCAGAGCTGTGGGTAAAATTATCTTGGGCCCAAATTCCCTGCTTTTTCTTTTCTTTTTAAAAACTCCTCTATGCTTAATGTTGAAACCCTGTACTTCTTGATCCAACGGCCCCTCCTGAGGAAAGGAAGCCAGTGAGTGAATTCACCTTGTTATAATAGTCGGATGAGGGACGGCTGCATTTATAAGGGACAGTAACATTACTGGAAGGAATGAAGTCCTGGCCACTGTTCCTGGCCACAGGGGAGACTTGAAGCTGGGAGACACTCACATTTCTCAAGTCACACCTGTGCCTGACCAGCCACAGATGGCACCCTCGGTCTGAAGTGGGTCCCACTAGCCTTTATTCTCAGCAGCCAGTCTCTCTGGCCTTGGCCAACATTCCTTCTCCTCACCCTCAGGTACCTTCTGGCTGGGGAGACGGGTGGGAGGAGGAAGTGAAGGGGCTGGTCACCCTCTGCCAGGACCCACTGCATTGCCCGGCTCCAGGGGCGCCACCCACACTGGTTTTCATGAGAGGCAGTCGACCAGGAGCCTCGTGCCCTGCATCGCTCAGGCTGGAGGGACGCGGGGAAATTCCAGTTTCTGGATGAATCTGCAGTTTAATCGGGGAAACAGTGATGGTCTTGAGTTCTCAACTCTCAGCCTGATTCCACAGAAACCTGCAGGCTCAGGGCCGCGGGCCCAGGCCTCTGCATGCCACCGTGGTCACTTCCTGCCCTGTCCCCCTTCGTCTCCATGGCGTTTCTAGTTCCTTTCCTTGCAGAGATGCTTCCTCTCACTTCACAGGGCTCCCAGCGATGGGAAGCCAAGAGAAGCCGGAGTCAGGATGGAACCCACCAAACCTGCCCATTGCCACCGGGCGGGCGTCCTGGGAACTGAGCTCTGCCCAGCCAGTGGGTGGCAGTGTGGGGACAGCTGGGCATGCTCCTTAGCGTCTGCGGCATTTGGGGTCCAGGGATCCTTGCCTGCCTTTTGTGGTTAGGTTGCCAGGGGAATAAAGGGAAAATGCCTTTCCTCAGGAATGCATGGAAAGTAGTGTTGATGCAGGTAAGGAGGCCTAAGAGAGATAGGAAGGTTAGAAAAATCAATTCCAGACAACGCTGTCCTGCTGCCCTAGCCCCTCCTGGGTTTCTCTCCCTGCTGGCTGCTCAGAGACCCTCAGACTCCCGGGCTTGACCTGTTTCTTGAGCCCCAAGCTGACCCCTCTCCCCTGGACAGCGTGGACGTGGGGAAGTCTCCAGATATCCCGTACGTGTATGTCGGGCATCAAGGCGAGGTCCAGAACTACAAGCCCCTCCAGGTGGTGACTGCCTGCAGCCTCGACATCTACAACTTCCCCTTCGATGTGCAGAACTGCTCGCTGACCTTCACCAGCTGGCTGCACACCAGTGAGTAGACGGGCTTTGGGGGCAGGGGCGCAGGCTGGGGCCCGGGACACTTGAGTGAGGAGCACATCCCGGATGCATCTTCCTTATCCAACTTACCTACCACTTACTTTTCTTCTTTCTTTCTTCTTTCTTTCTTTCTTTCTTTCTTTCTTTCTTTCTTTCTTTCTTTCTTTCTTTCTTCCTTCCTTCCTTCCTTTCTTTCTTTCTTTCTTTCTTTCTTTCTTTCTTTCTTTCTTTCTTTCTTTCTTTTCTTTCTTCCTTCCTTTCTTTCTTTCTTTCTTTCTTTCTTTCTTTCTTTCTTTCTTTCTTTCTTTTCTTTCTTTCTTTCTTTCTTTCTTTCTTTCTTTCTTTCTTTCTTCTTTCTTTCTTTCTTTCTTTCTTTCTTGTTAATCCTCACTGGAGGATATTCCTCACCCTGGATTTTAGAAAGAGAAGAAGGAAGGGGGAAGAGAGAGAGAGAAGCACTGATGTGAGAGAGCCACATCAATTGGTTGCCTCCCCAATGCACCCCAACTAGGGCGGGGAACCTGCAACCCAGGTATGTGCCCTTGACTGGAATCGACGCTCTAATCCCTGAGCCATGCCGGCCAGGGCACCACTTCTATTTTTAATGCCACTGAGCCTATTTCTTTATCCTCCAAGTGGGATTAACCTGGTTGCCCAGTGCCTCCCTCTGTCATCATGCCAACTGACCGAGACAGTGCAGACACTCAGTAGGGCCCATTCTTTCCCAGGATCACTCACAGGAGTGGCACGCGATGCCTCTCAAAGCCCTCACTTCTCCTCTCCACTGATGCACTCTCCCCTAATCCAAGCCAACCTGATCTTGTGCCCAGGTTTCTGCAGTAGCCTCCTTGCGGGTCCCCCTCCTTTATTCTTGTTCCCCTCCAATTCATGCTCCTCAGAGCAAATGGAGATCTTATTAAAATGCAAATCTGCTTAAGAGCCTTGATGGTTTCCCAATGCTCCCAGGACAGAATCCAAATCCTTCACCTGGCCCGTGGGGCCCTGGGCTGGCCGCCCGCAGCCCATTCCTCCAGCCCCTAATCCAGGGGTGGGCAAACTTTTTGACTCAAGGGCCACAATGCATTCTTAAACTGGACCGGAGGGCCAGAACAAAAGCATGGATGGAGTGTTTGTGTGAACTAATATAAATTCAAAGTAAACATCATTACATAAAAGGGTACGGTCTTTTTTTTTTTTTAGTTTTATTCATTTCAAACGGGCAGGATCCAGCCTGCGGGCCGTAGTTTGCCCACGGCTGTCCTAATCACAGGCTGCTTCCCCCGCTCCCCCCCAGGCCACTTGCCCTCCTTCCTCTCCTGCTTTCCTTCTTGTCCCACTCCTGCCCCAGCCACACCTGGTTAGCCAGTTCCTCTACTCACCTTCGAATCACAGCTCAGGGTCAGCTTCTCGGGGAACCCCCTCCCAGTCTCCAGACTAGGCATCCCCAACGCCCAATGTACAGCCTCCTGTTCGCCTTCCCACGTCTATTGTGCTTGTAAGCACTTGTTCAACGTGTACCTCTCTACCCGATACACACGAAGAGAGGGCGGAACACGATTTCTGCCCCACCACTGGGTGCACAGCACGGTGCCTGGCACAGAGAAAGGTGCTGACAAACGCATCGAGGGGGTGCACGCTAGGTGCTCACTGAGGCCTAAGGACGTGAGCATCACTTTACTGCCAAACGGCATCCTCCACTACCTTCTAATTTTGACCAAAACCCAGAATTACAAATGATCTTTGACCTCTACCCGCGTTCCCAAACTCCTCACCAACTCCCCACACCAGGACTTCACAGCTTTCAGCAGTATAACCTTCATATGATATGCTCTTCCAGGTCCTTCTCTACCCTTTGCCTATGTACACATACGTACTCATCTATGGAAAGTGCATGGGAATTATTCTATATACATCATTTATGCTACTGCTACTTGCTTCGTTTTACTCAACCACAGATCTGGGACATTTTTCCAAGTTAGTGCGCATGTAGAGCTCCCTCATCAATTCGGACCACCGTCGACTATCCCGTGGTCTGGGTGCATCAGAGTTTGTTCCGCATTCTCCTGATCCATGGGCACGTCAGCCATTCCTGCTGCTTGACTGCAGTGGGCGCTCCTGTGCTCTGGTGCCATGCACATCTGTCCCTGTAGTAGAGGCAGAGGCGCTAAACTATTCTGTAAGCGGGGGTTCTGCTTGCTTCCAGTTCAGGCGGCTTTCTGCAGACCGAGGTGAAGAGTACTGACTTGTTTATTTCCTAAGTAGGTAATTATAACAAGGAAACCTAGAAAGGTGTGTGTGTGTGTGTGTGTGTGTGTGTGTGTGTGTGGCGGGGGGCTCTCTAATAAATGGTTTGTTGGTTCTTTGCACTTTGCTGTGTGTTTCACTTCATCCTTCCTTCCCCTCGCTCCAGGCCCGCTGTACAGATAGGTACAGTGTGCAGGGACCTCACTGTGTAGCTGAGGAAACTGAGGCTGGGGATGAAGAGCTGAAGCGAGCCAAGCCATGTGGGTGCACCACCCGGCACCCCACTGTCGCGGGCTCTGGCATGCCGCTGGCGTGGGCTCCAGCGCTGGCTTGCTTTCCTCTCTCCCAGTCCAGGACATCAACATCTCCCTTTGGCGCCCGCCAGAAAAGGTGAAGTTCGACAAGAGCGTCTTCATGAACCAGGGCGAGTGGGAGCTTCTGGGGGTGCTGACCCAGTTTCGGGAGTTCAGCATGGAAAGCAGCAGCAGTTATGCAGAAATGAAGTTCTACGTGAGTGGGACAGGGAGCGGGTGCGATTAAAATAATGAATAGAGCCACTAGCCCGGCACACCCAGGCAGACTTGGGGAGACATGGGGGAGAACCGCCGTGGCCCCGGCCCCACCGCAGGGTCACACTCATCTCCTGGAACTTCCACGAGGTAGATGGGGCAACAGCTGAATTGTCCCTCACTTACCCTAACAGCCACAAGCCTGGATCCAGAGGCAAAATGTGGGGTCTGTCCGTGTCCTTTTCTGAGAAATGCAGGTTGAAAGCTCTACCAAGCAAGGGGGCTGGGATGGGGGCGGTTCCTGGGCACAGGACCTGTCTGCCCCAGGCCTCCCCCAGAGCTCTTCTCCTGGTCCCAGGTGGTCATCCGCCGGCGGCCCCTATTCTATGCGGTCAGCCTGCTGCTGCCCAGTATCTTCCTCATGGTCATGGACATTGTGGGCTTTTACCTGCCCCCAGAGAGTGGTGAGAGGGTCTCCTTCAAGATCACACTCCTTCTGGGCTACTCTGTCTTCCTGATCATTGTGTCCGACACGCTGCCCGCCACCGCCATCGGCACTCCCCTCATTGGTAAGGCCTGCTTCTGGGGAAGAGCTCGCTGTGGCCAAGGAAGCCAGGCGTGGGCCCTCCCACCTTCTCTGTGTCTCCCTCCCGCCCCCTCCCCGGGGTGCACAGGTGTCTACTTTGTCGTGTGCATGGCTCTGCTGGTCATCAGCTTGGCTGAGACGATCCTCATCGTGCGGCTGGTGCACAAGCAAGACCTGCAGCAGCCGGTGCCTGCCTGGCTGCGGCGCCTGGTTCTCGAGCGAATCGCCCTGCTGCTTTGCCTGGGGGAGCAGCCAACCTCCCATCGGTGCCCAGCTGCCTCCCAAACCAGCAAGACTGATGACTGCTCAGGTGAGGGGGGAGAGGGAGTCCCTCTGCAGGGGCCCTTCCGGTCTGGAGGCAGGAGCATGGGGGAAGGGGGGTGTCTCTGGAGGACGTGCCCGGGAGCTCAGCCGGGCCTGGGAGGTGGGTGCTGTCCTGCATGTGGCACCCCACGCACCACCTCACTGGGGGTGGGGCAGCCTGAGCGCCCATCTCTCTGCACCTGCACATGCTCATCAGCCTGGGTGGACAGAGGCGGGGCAGGATGCAGGGAGCAGGGGGACCCGCTGAGGAGTTGCCACAGCCATTTGCTGGTGGTCGTGCTGGTGGCGTGTTGGTCTGTCTCTTGCGCACTTTGGGCCAGGCATGTGCGAAGCACTTCCTGTGGGATCACAGGTGATCCTGATGGTGACCCAATTGGATTTTCAGCCTCATTTTTCAGTGAAGCTGTCCGGACCCGGGCTTTTGTTTGCTGGGAGTTCTTTGATTACTGCTTCTAGTTCATCAGTTGTTTTTGGCATACTCCGGTTTTCTGATTCTTCCTGATTCCATTTTGGGAGATTGTGTTTTTTTTTAGGAATTTGTCCATTCCATCCACATTGTCCTCATTCTCATTTTTCAAATGAGCAAACAGGGGTACAGTGAGGCCAAATTGCTTGCCCCAAGGCACAGAGCCAGGAACTGGTCAAGTGTGATTTGAAATCAGGCCCATCTGACAAGCTGGTGTTCTAACCACTCCACCCACTGCACTCCTCTTTGTCCTCCCTTCCGGCCAGAGCCATGCCTTTTACAGATGTTTCGTTAACCTACTATCATCTCCTCATGAACTCATGAGCTTGGGCAGCAATTTTCAACCTTTTCCCCTCATGGCACATGTAAACTAATCACTAAGATTCTGCAGCATTGCAAAAAAAATGTATTTTTTGCCGATCTGAAAAAAAATAGGTATACTTTTGATTCATGCATACTGAACAGCTATTGTGTTGGCTATTGTTGTTTTTTTAATTATTATTTTGACAATCTAAGGGAAAAGAGGTCAGTGCCCTTGACTAAATAGCCAGATATCGCATGTTTTAAAAATTGATGTGGCACAGTTGAAAATCCCTGAGCTAGAGCACCCGCCTAATGCCTGATTTCACTGCTCACCTGGCGAAGGCCGCCACATCTGCAGGTGTGTTTTCTAGTGCAGAAGGCTCGGAGTCACGGAGAGGAGGGCATCGAGGCAATAAGACACAGTGGAGAGGGCAGTGGATTCAGAGCCCAGATATCTAGGCCTCGATGTCCTCGCTATTAAATGATGCTCCAGCTGTGTGACCACAGGCTAGTCACTTACCCTCTCTGAGCGTTAGCACCTTCATACAAAGAGTGTGGATAACAATTCGTCCTCCTCTGCTCTTCCACGGGCTGTTGTGAAGAGCAAATGAAATGGTGACTATCAAAGCTGGGCAAAGACCATGAGTTAAGAAGCAAGTGCATGGGAAGGATAAACACCAAATTTGATGTTGGTGACCCGGGGAGGGGACGGAGGCTGTGACTAAGAAGAGGTGTACAGGAATCTCCCACTGTATTGGCTTTCTTCATTTGCTTAAGTTGGATGGCGGCTACCCAAATAGGTAAGTTACTCCCGATGCTCTTTATGTCTGAGATTGCTCATGCTAAAAGCTTCTGCAGGCCAAAGAAATGTAAGGGACGGTGTTCAGGTCATCTGGCTAGACCCCCTCCCTTGCCAATGCTCTGCCCCTTCTTCCAGACATGGGGAACCACTGCGGCCATTTGGGAGGACCCAGGGACTTGGACAAGACCCCGAGGGGCAAAGACAGCCCGCCCCCACCGCCGCGGGAGGCCTCCCTGGCCATGCGCGGGCTGCTGCAGGAGCTGGCCTCCATCCGGCACTTCCTGGAGAAGCGGGAGGAGAGCCGAGAGGTGGCCCGGGACTGGCTGCGCGTGGGCTCCGTGCTGGACAGGCTGCTGTTCCGCATCTACCTGCTGGCGGTGCTGGCCTACAGTGTCACCCTGGTCACACTCTGGTCCATCTGGCAGTATTCCTGAGGAGTCCAGCCGAGCGAGGGTGGGGGGACTTCAGGGTTCAGGGGGTGCCAGGGATGTTCTCAAGTCACATACACAGCTCCATCCCTGGTTCCAATGCCAATTTATCTCAGCAATCCCGAAGCAGGGCCTTCACCCTTCTCCCAAAATCTTGGCGTCCAAGATCCTTACATCCTCCCTGCCCCCACCTGCCATGATGGCTTTGAAACATGTTGTCTTATATCAGAAGAAATCCATGCATTTCCCAACTTCACTCTATATCTGTGCAGTAAGCCTCAGTTTCCCCACTGGCCCACCCCCCTCCCCTAAATAAGGCACTTTGGAATTCTGCTCATCTCCCTCAGCCTTGTTTTTGAGATTGAAGGCCAGCCAACTCTCTAATATACGGGCCTGATAACTTCTTTAGGTTTATCCAACACTAACGTCTCCTTCTTCACCTCACCTGTGACCACTTCCCTGAACACTCATGTTTCATCAGATGGTGGGGGTGGGGCTAATAAAATGCGACAAATCCCTAACCTCTCTTCTTGACCATTTGTCAGGAGCCGCATGAGGATGAAGAGGTTTAAAGTTATTGGTGAAAGTGAGGTTGGAGAGTATCTGTGGTTTCAGCTGTTTGGTGCCTCCTGCCCCTAGGGAATGGTGGCTGTTATGAAGAAGAAATAATAGGAGGTGGGATTTAAATGGGAAGGTCAGGACCATGAACACAGCAATGGAGAGTTGGGCGGGGGAAGCTCAGATGCTGGACGGAGGCACAGTCCTCCCTGCGCCAGGACCCTGCCGTGCAAAGCAGAACATCAGCACCACGGCCAGCGCCCGCAGGCTTGGTTTTTCAGACTGAGAGCTCAGGTTTGAGACTGTGTCTAGTTTTGCTTCTTTAATTGCCTCTGGGAACTCTCAGCAGCCAGCCACTGGCACATCCACCAGGACCACGAGGGAGGCAGGTGGAAGGGTGGCCTTTGATCTTCTAGCTTCCTCTCCCAGACATTGGGGTTCAAGACATGCCGAGCAGCACCCCGACTCTATCCTTCCACCCACCTCACAGGCATTCAGAGGAGAGGATTGCCAGAGCCCACCGAAAGTGACTGCCTCAGCGTCCTCCATGGATGCCTGAGGCTGGCTCTCCGCTCTTTCTCAGTCCAGCGCACCCCTCTCCCTGCCTCGGGCTGCTTGTCTCTCAGGGGAAGACGTGTGGACAGGGACTGAACACACCAGGCTAACGGGAAAGGGCCCCAAAGAAATGCCTGGAATGAGCTGTTCTGGGCTGGCCAATGAGAAGGGTTCAGTAAGAAACACCTGAAGCTATGCCTTCCCTTGACCCCACACTCTGCAGTTCTAGTTAGTAGACCATCCTGGCACAACCTTGGGGCCTCGTGTCTGGAAGAGCCTGAGGCTGAGGAAGGGGGCTTGTCTGGTTCGGCTTCTCAGCCCAGGTCCCCAGCGTGGAGCAAGAACTCACAAAGGGAGAACTGCATGGGAGTTCATCAGATACTTCCAACCAGGTGTGTGGGCTTTGGGACTAGCTACAGACGTTATGTTTATCTTTGTTTTGTTGGTGGGTAGGTATCGGGGTCTCCCAGCAAAAAGCAGGAGATTGTGGGACTGGAGAGTAGCCCCACTCACAGTGGTTGCTTCCTGATGAGTAGACGGCTCATCCTGACGCTCCCAGGATGGTCCCTGCAGCAGCACCTCAGAGCCTGGTCTTGGGAAAAAGCTGCTCACTCACTTGGACTTGCCCTGCCCAAGTCCTGCTCACTCACTTGGACGTGTCCTGCTCACTCACTTGGACTGTCCTGCTCACTCACTTGGACTGTCCTGCTCACTCACTTGGACTGTCCCGCTCACTCACTTGGACGTGTCCTGCTCACTCACTTGGACTGTCCCGCTCACTCACTTGGACTGTCCCGCTCACTCACTTGGACTGTCCTGCTCACTCACTTGGACGTGTCCCGCTCACTCACTTGGACGTGTCCTGCTCACTCACTTGGACTGTCCTGCTCACTCACTTGGACTGTCCTGCTCACTCACTTGGACTGTCCCGCTCACTCACTTGGACTGTCCCGCTCACTCACTTGGACTGTCCTGCTCACTCACTTGGACATGTCCTGCTCACTCACTGGGATTGTCCCGCTCACTCACTTGGACTTGCTGGGCCAGTCATGCTTCTGGCACTGTAGATGCCCCACTGGTCAGGTCAGTAAGAGGGTGGCTATTGACAAAGTGTCCAAACAGAGAGCTGGTGAGACACTAATCAACCTATTGATTCCTCATCTCTCCCTCCCCATCCTTCACCCACAATCGTTGGAGCAACAGAGCCCGGCACTGCGGCAGCCAATTAACCACCTTAAGAATGAGCTGCCACGTGTAACATCTTCTGCTCCACTAGCCACAGCCAATCAGCTCATTGGTCCACATCCAGGCTGTGCTGCCCAGGGATGGGAAACTGAGGCCAGGGCCAGGGAATCCCAGTGCACTAACTCTTGTCATCAGTATTGACCTTGGACTTCTCCCAAGGAAATCTTTACCCTGCCCGGGACATGAGAAGGCCTAGAGCAGCGGTTCTCAACCTGTGGATTGCGACCCCTTTGGGGGTCGAATGACCCTTTCACAGGGGTCACCTAAGACCATCGGAAAACACATAATTACATATTGTTTTTGTGATTAATCACTGTGCTTTAATTATGTTCAATGTGTAACAATGAAATTGGGGGTCACCACAACATGAGGAACTGTATTAAAGGGTCGTGGCATTAGGAAGGTTGAGAACCACTGGCCTAGAACGTCTCTCCCAACTGCTTTATTTCCCGGAATCTGCTTCCTTCCTCCTCCTGAGAAGCTTGTTGGTTCTCTATCTCATCTCTACTCCTCTCTATTCACATATGAAGACTCCCCGTTCTCAGCTGCCTTCCCCATTTACCCGCTTTCCAAAACCTGTCAGTTCTACTCAAAAGCTCCCATTAAAGGTCTTGAAAGTGCCCAGCCCTCTGTAGTGCTCCAAGCAGTGGAGCCAGTGGCCCATATCCCAGGAGGCCACCTCTCCCACTGGAACGTGGCAGCCTCGCTCAGCGACCCAGGGCCCCTCGCAGGAGTGGTCCAGGGGAGTGGCTGCGCTCAGAGTTAGGAGATGTGCTTAAGGGCGATTTCCCTGAGAGAATAGGAAGACAAGCTGCCTGGGGAGGGGGGTGGGGGCGGAGAAGGGGGGGCGAGCATGAGGAGAGGGGTTTCAGCAATCCCCAGCCAGCTTCTCCTCCCTCCCCCATCGCCCTCCAGCCTCCAAATCAATACATTTGGAATCTAATCTAATAACAGAGATTTAACGAGGGGATGATGCGTGTGCAGCGCCGGGCGCTTTGTCTCTTCTTTCAAGCGGCAGCTGGGGCCCATTATCGGGACAATGCCCCACGCTAATCGCTCCCCTCTCCTCCCGAGGGTGGGGGAGGGGCGGTGGACAAGAGAGGGCAGCTCCCCTCCTGATTGGAGGGGAGTGCAGGGGTGAAAGGGGGAAGAAGTGGAGAGGGGTCTGGACGCCCCCACACGGTTGTCTTGACCTGACACCCACTCACTGGGCCTCCTCCCCCACCCGCACTGCCCACCAGGCAGTCGGGACAGGAGCCAGCAGTGCACGCAGCAGCAGATAATTGCCCATCAGCTGCAGCCCAGTGGCTGGGAGTTGGGTAGGTTTTGTTGCTTTTTT